TTGGGGACAGTGTAGAGGGAGCTTTACTCTGTATTTAACCCTGTGCTGTCCCTGTCCTGGGAGTGTTTGATGGGGGACAGTGTAGAGGGAGCTTTACTCTGTATTTAACCCCGTGCTGTCCCTGTCCTGGGAGTGTTTGATGGGGCACAGTGTAGAGAGAGCTTTACTCTGTATCTAACACTGTGCTGTCCCTGTTCTGGGAGTGTTTGATTGGGGGGGGGGGGGGGGGAGCGGAGGGAAACAGTGTAGAGGGAGCTTTCTTTTCAGTTTACGTTTAGTTCAAAAGAGTAGAGGGAGCTTTACTTTCAGATTAAGAGTGTAGAGGGAACTCAGAGATGGAGGCAGATTCTGTAAGAGTCTGCAGAATAGGGATGAGAAATAAATTTGGAATTGATGTGGTGAGAGGTTTGTTCAAATGGGGCTTGAGAGCGGGGCTAGCTGGGTAGCTCTTTCAGGAGTTAGTACAAACACGATGGATTGAGTGGCCTCATTCAGTGCTGTAAAATTGTACGATTTATTAATTCTATACTGTCTCTAACCCTGGGTGATGCTGCTGCAGTAAAAGGGCCACGTCGAGGGATGGGAATGAGAAGGAGTTTGAAAAATTAATTGAATATGGTGCACCTTAGTCAGAGCAGGGAAATGAATAAGAGGGGATAGTCTGAATAAAATATAGTTCTTTCATTCAGACAGGATATCTGGACGTACTAACAAATTCAGAACCAGTGAATCACTGGACTGACATGAGTCAACATCCTGAAATTGTTTGTCTCCGATAAAAGTCACTCCACTGCAGTACGGACCTGTTAGGGAAAGCATTGAGACACTGGGTCAAAGATCAGAGGCACCATTCAGCACATCTTGAGTAGAAACTGGGGTCAAACCCCAGCACCACCCCCACCCCCACCCCAACTCTTGCCTGAAAAAGTACCAGCCAGGACAGAGTGTCCATGTTTGTGCGGCTCAAATGGTAAGATACAGTCATCCAGCATGGAAACAGGCCCTTCGGCCCAACTCGTCTATGGTGACTAGATATCCCAAATTAATCTAGTCCCATTTGCCAGCATTTGGCCCATATCCCTCTAAACCCTTCCTATTCATGTACCCATCCAGGTGCCTTTTAAATGTTGTATTTGTACCAGCTGCCACCATTTCCTCTGGCAGCTCCTTCCATACACGCACCACCCTCTGTGTGAAAACGTTGCCCCTCAGGTCTCTTTTATATTTTTCACCCTCTCACCTTAAACCTATGCCCCTCTAGTTTTGGACTCCCCTACCCTGGGGGAAAAGACCTTGTCTATTTACCCTATCCATGCCCCTCATGATTTTATAAACTTCTGTCATCCCTTAGTCTCCGACGCTCCAGGGAAAATAGCCCCAGTCTATTCAGCCTCCTCGTAAATCTTTTCTGCATGGTGGGAGGAGGAAGAGGTTCGGTGTCAGACAAGAAGTGTCCCTGCCAGCCACATCACTGGGTGCTTGCGTCAGAGTAAGGCAAAGCACAGAGGGAGGCCATTCAGCCCATTGAGTCCATCCCTGGTGTCCCAAGAAGCAACCCAGTGACCCACACTCACCTTGCATACCTCTGTACTTTACCACCCATCCCGCATACAGCCCTTGTGACATGAATCCACTATCCCTGGCATCTCTCTCTCACTTGTCGATCCCTCTACAATGCCTTCATAGAGCTGTACAGCAAAGAAACAGACACTTCAGTCCAACTCGTCCATGCTGACTAGATATCCTAAATTAATCTAGTCCCATTTGCCATCATTTGCCCTCTGAACCCTGCCCATTCATGTACCCACCCAGATGCCTTTTAAATGTTGTAATTGTACCAGCCTCCAGCACATCCTCTGGCAGCTCATTCCACACTGGCACCACCCTCTGGGTGAAAAAGGTGCCTTGTAAATATATCCTTGTAAATCTTTTCTGAACCCATTCGAGTTTCACAGCATCTTTGCTATAGCAGGGTGACCAGAGCTGAATGCAGTATTCGAAAGGTGGCCTCACTAATGTCTCCTGTACAGCCAGCCACACATGAGCTCCCAGCTCCTACACTCAATCGCTGACCACATCATTTCGAGAGTGTTGCTGTTCCTGGTAACCTGGTTGTGAACGCAGAACTTCCGCTGCACTGAGGGTTTCGGGGGGAGCTCCTGTCATTGGATTGGCGAGGGCCAGCAGAGAGCAACTGGGCTGATTGGCCTTGGCAGGAGGCAGACAGCGCCACACAGTGGTCAGCAGCTGGTACTACAGGGCCTGCCACCCACTGAGGGACTGTGCAAAGATCCCACACAGACGCCACCCTCACCCACCCCCCACCCCCAACAAAGCACAAAGGCAAAAGGTCAGCAGCAAGCCCAAACAGCATTCCTTGTTGGGTTGAATGGCCTGGTTCCACACTACAGGGACTCTATGATAACAGGTGTAAGAGTAGGCCATTCAGCCCATTAGGGCAGCATGGTTCCCTCATAGCTGATTGAATACTTCACTGCTTTGTACTCACTCTGCCCCCATACTTTCGCAGAATCCCGACAGTATGGAAGCAGGCCACTCAGCCCATCAAATCCACACTGCCCCTCCGAACAGCATCCTACCCCTGTAACCCTGCATTTAGCACGGCCAATCCACCCTAACCTGCACATCCCTGGGCACTATGGGGTAATTTAGCACGGTCATTCCACCCTAACCTGCACATCCCTGGGCACTATGGGGCAATTTAGCAT